AAAAAAAAAAAAAAAAAAAAAAAAAAAAAAAAAAAAAAAAAAAAAAAAAATTATAATAAACGCTAACGCACTTCTTTCCTGCTATCGGCACTTCAATTACATCTCTGTTCGCAATTTTTAATGGAGTCCTTCTACCTATGACTTAAGCCCTGCTACATTTTTCACCATAAAAAAGAAAACACGCACGGCCGTAACATATACCCGAGCGTATAGCGTTATTAACCGTATAATTAAACGGGAAACGTTTGGTCATTGTATCGCACACGAGACCGTGCCGTGTTTCGCTTTTTCCCCGCCCTCTCCCATTATTCTCTTTTATTAACTCTATATCCTCCTCCACCTTTTCCTCTGCACCCCAAGAACTTTACCGAGGGGGAAAAGGCGGGAAAAAAAGCCAGACTGGTAATTACGCGCCGTAATTCATCATTAATTAAAAGATATTTTTTACGGAGCAGTTGCCATTATTGGACGATTACAGCGTGCGCCCCGTGATAATTTAACGAGGGGGCCCCTGCTCCATATACTCTTGGTCTCCGAAAGGATTCATTGCACGACCAAAACACTATACTTCTGACGAATTCCCAAAGTATATTCCTGCACTCCTAACGTCACCACTTTATGGTAGCAGTGTAATAGGTACGGACGAGTGCGGCAGATTACATAGAGGTGATAAAATTGACCCGTCGCGGCGACACATTGGAAGTTGGGGCGAAGTACACCTCGCGACTCGGGTGATTTGTAGTGCTCCAAGTTTCTACGCGGAGGACGATTAAGATACACTCGATCTGCACGTCCTTGCGCACGGCAAAGTCCGACACTTCCCGGCGACTTGGCGCCCCCCCCCCCTGGTCTCTCTCATCTCCCGTCCTCGACCCTATACATATCTGGTTCCGTGTGGGGGCACCATATATACGCGAGTACCGTCGCCCGAGAGTGGGATTTAAAAGCAAAGTTCGCAGGTTAATAAAAAGGACCATCTCTTTTTTTTCTTCTCCCCCGCGTTTTCGCTGCAGTTTCACGTGGAATAGCTTTTTCGCGAAGCCTTCTATTCGCGCGACCCGCGAAACGCCGGAAAAACGAGCGAGATTAAATGGTACAGGGAGGAAGCCAGAGAAAACAGCAAGGACTGTGTATATACCCAAAGGTATAACATTTCCACAGGAAAACCATAATGTATTCGGTGGGTAACGAGATATTACGCAAACTCGCGAGTAATTGGAATTTCTCGTTCGATCGATCGCAAGCGTTCTCCCTTGCATCATTTTTTTCCCCCCCAATTAGGCTATTATAGCGCAAGCGCTGCCTCCGATTGATTTCGCCGAAGCCCCTCCCATGACGGGGGAACAATTACCCGATGCGTGTGTGTATACATGTGTTTCCCAGAGCAGATACGCTGATTGGTTTTATATCCAGGCTCCCGCCAGCGGCAGTACACGGGAACCGTAAATTTTCACGCAGCAAACGCGAAACGTGATTTGTTCAAAAATTGCGGTGGAAGAAAAAAAAAAACTTTTGGTTCCCTTTGCTTTTCGGCCCGCAGTCCGTGCGGGTTTCGCGGCTAATTGCCATCCTAAATTTATCCGGAATATTGGGCGCTCTCCACCCCCGGGGCTCACCTGTCCTAAATCAACCGGCCCCTCCAATCGTCGATATATAGCCAGGGACTGGGCCTACGCGCGCATAGTTGCGCGCTCGCGTGTACAAGCGCAGGAGGCCCCGTCGTCGACACCTCTAATATCCGTCGCCTCGGCGCTCGGGGGCTCTATTCAGCGGCTTATCTGCCGCGCCATCGGCTCTAATTTACCCCACCACCCCCCGGATATTTTGCTACACACTTGCCCGCTGGGAGTGCGGGCTTGATTCCAGTTTACGGGGACAAGCTCGTTATCGGCGAGCTTACTGTTATTACTCAAAAACTACCTGATTCGTTTGGTTATATGGGAGGGAAAAAAAGGGACCTTTTTTCCTCGTGATTCGCACGCGTGGAGTCACGCCTACGCGGCACTTTGCGCTCGACAAATGGATTTCTATCATATATACCTACGCGCATGGAGTTCAACGTCAACAGCAGTAACAACAGCTTCAGCGAGGGGGATGGAGGGTGGGGGGCGGAACATGATTGTGTATCGCGTGCTCCGTGACAACAATGGCAAATCGACGCCTGAATTTGCGATCGTCGGTGTACTCTGCCGTCACTTGTTAGCGAGTGTGATCACTTGGTCTCTGGGAGGGATGTACACATGTAGGCTATATAGGTCAACCGGTGCGTCAGTAAAATGGGTTTGTCATCTCGCGCTGTAACCTTTGGAAATGGCTCGGAAGATAGAGTAACATTGCCGTTGTTGCGCTTTAGTGTATTTTTCAGTACCATCCACCCCGTACGTACACGTACAGCTTTCGAGTGCAGGACGCGTGCACAGCACTTTGGTGGGAGGGGAAAAAAAAAGAGATCTGCGTGCAGTCGAAAAAATAAAAGTTTGATGGATCGGAAAGCTTCGGAGTGCAGTAAAATCGAGGGATTTGATGGATTTTCGGAACTGGGATATTACATTCTGGAAAAAACTCCGGGGCGAGGGAGCGATCGAAAAATCTGAAAAATAGAAAAAACGAAAAAATAGTGCAAGGAGAGCAGGGACGGGGCCAAGAGGGGGAGGAGGCCGATGGCGTTCGGCAGTACTTGTGCACGTATTTCAGCCCGAGCTCTCGAACACGAGCGCGAACGCGGGAAGGCCCGGATGACTACTAAAACTTGCAGCGGCAACTCTCTACGCTGGCGCTTTTCACGCCGAATTCGCATTTGTGTTTTTTTTTTTTTACTCTCCCCATCCCCCTTTTTGTTACTTTTACTTTGCGCCGACAAGTTTCCTCCTCTTTCCCTCTCCTTTTTTTGGACCAGAGAGCGTCGAACACGACCATCGCGGGGTATTGATTTCACTGAATTCCCTCCAAAAGGTTATCCAATGAATAATAAAAAGAAAAAAAAAAACCATTACCACGCATAAATATGCATCGAGGGCAAAAATCCCGAATACGAATAGAAAGTTGCATCCCATGTTAAATCGTCGGTTTGAAAAAAATGAGAGCTACAGGGAAAGAGAGAGAAAGAAACGGAGGAAAGAATAATCCACATCTCCCCATTCATCTCTTTCTCCCTCGTAACGCACCGTGATAACTAGCCGGAGCCTGTGCTCCAGGCACCCTCCACCCCTCTCCCTTGTACCCTGCTCTTACGCATAATCACCCCCAAGGTGCATTCACCTACATTTGCACTTGTAAACTTCGCATCTGCATACTCGTACTCGCGAGCACACGTATACAATTATCATCCACTTCGGTCTGCGCGCGTGTGCCACGAAGCAGTGGCAATATGTTACACCCCTGGTATATACACGTGCACCGTTGCGATTGAACGTAGATGTCAGAGGATTCGTACTCTCCTCCCCGCCCTCGGGGTGCAAACATTCGAATGTATAGGCCTGTACAACGTGCCTGCGCGTGCGACTTTCCGAGTGTCAGCGTTATATCCACCAGCAGTCACATTGCACGTATATTATATGCAGGTCTGTACAACCAACCTGGTATATACACGTGTCTTTTGTGTGTACACGAAGAAACCGAGAAGCATCACGCGCCCTCGTACATACACACGCGTACATATTCAGAATAGTACAAAAGCAAATTCATCCCTTTGACGGCATGCGCGCGTGCACATATTAGAGTTGATCTATACCGGAGTACCTGATGTGGGACGGGTCTGTATGGAGAATTAGCTTAGCTCCACTCTCAGAAGGAAAGAGGGAACGGAGGGAGGATTTTTTTCCCCCCAAGAAGCGCGTACGTCAATCCATAGACATGAGTTGTGAGCATATGGGGAAAAAAGGGCACGGTTGAAACTATACTGAAACCTGATCTTTGCTAATAATTGAAGGTCTATACGTCAAAAGGATGGTTGAAAATTTTACGAGAGAAATTTCGTGAAGGTGGATCCCGGCTATCAATATTTTTGCAGGGGAATAACTGACGTTACTCTGCTCTGCGACAAGTGAGGGGATCGAGCATCGGGTAAAAGCTTGTCGGATGGAATAAAGAAATCCAAGGAAATACCAAAAGACACGGGTAAAAATAAAAAAAGGAGGCGGGCCTTACGTAATGACCCAAAGGACAGTGTACTTACACATGGACAATCGTTAACTATATATATGAGTACATGGTTTACATTGGAGGTCTTGTCCCATCATCGTTTTTTGGGTGCTTGTTAGCAACTCGATACAAGTTTGATACGAGTTTGTACTTTTGCTTCAAACTTTTTTTCTCAACTCTAAGAACTTTGGTGCTTCTGTCTGACGAAGAATTTTTTTTTTGTTTCTTCCTCTGTATTTAATACTACATTGAGTTTTTTAAGCAGCTTAAAAAGACACGAGGAATCAAAAATTCATAGAGCGATGGGAGCTCTTTCAAAGGGTTTTGCAGCTCGGAGGGTCGAAACGGGAGTATCGGGAAAACGTTAAAAGTGCAAAATCGTTAAATTGGGAGAGCTTTTGAGAAAAAAAAAAAAAAAAAAAAAAGAGTAAACGAAGAGCCTACAATGAAGAG